AAAGACAACACCAACCATAGTATTAAAAATCATTACAAATTCACAATGGGTTTGAACAACTTTTAAAAGAAATTACAATGTAAATTGAAATACAACACATGCGAATGCTCCTAAAAGTGAAGTGTCCCTAAGTGCCACTTACTCGATGATTCCTGAAAAAGCATGTAAAACGAGCGTCAACTATAAAAATAGTTGGTGAGTACTCACAGATAAACAAAATAGTATTGGTTCCATGAATTGAAATCAAAGTTTTGATAAAAGTTTCCAATAATAAAAGTATATTGTTAAAATGAGTAAATAAGTTTGTAAAAACAAAGTTCTTTGTCATCATGAGAGATAAAGTATGTTGCCCAAATAAGATGCAACATTCATATTCTCATGGAACATAAAGTTCGTTACTCAAACGAGTAAACAAGTTTCATTGCTAAAATGAGCAATCAATTTCGTTGCTACAAGGAGCAAACAATTTCATTGCTAAAACATGTATATAAGTTTTCAGTAATAAAAGTTCGTTGTTGTAATGAGAAACAAAGTTCATTGCTATAATTAATAACAAGTTTATTGCTATAACGAGAAACGAGTTTGTATGTGTATGAGCAAACAATGAGTCTCAACCAAACCTATGACTGAAGCCCTATCAAGATCTATGCTTATTGTTCCATAGATGAATATGGTATCATGCACTCCAGCAATAGGGCGAGTGAGGAGTTGTCAATTCCTAATAGCGCTATCCATAATGACCATTGGCTCAAAGAGTTAATGGTTAGAGATAAGGGAAGGGCCTTAGTACGATAAGTTCTCATGTTCTGTGTTGCATAGACATACATAGAGCGACATAGCAATAAAATAGCAATCATGTTTGATACAAATCAATTTAAATACAACATTCAAATAATAGTTTTTCGGGACATGCATTTCCACCCCAAAACATAAAAAACTGAAAATAGGGGAGTGCGTGAATACTCACAATGCATTGAGATGATGCAAATGGTGCCTTGATCTACGCTCCACTCGTACCACTATCGTTTTTCCTATAACGACCTTACACACTAATGAGTCCCTAATTGAAATCTAATACTAGTATACTTACTACTACAATAGAATTATGCCAATAATGTGTCAAAATTTAATATTGATAAGTTACAAACATTTTTCTGTGGAAATTAAGTTTCAAAGAATCAATTGTTATATAACAATTTAAGTGGAAAATTTCCATTATTGAAATGTTAATATTTAACATTTTAGAGGTGTTCCAATGATTAAATATTCAAAACTAAATCAATTTAGTTCTAAACTTTCCCAAACTTTGCATTTAAGTTTTAATTGAAGTCAAAGACCTTAAGATAAATTTTCTTGAATTTTTGATTTGTCTGACTATTTTTCACGATTTTAGTTTCTTGAATAACCATAAAATCATGAAAAATACTAAACAGTTAATAAAAATTACCAAACTTCAGATTTTGGTTCTAAATGTACTAAAAGACTTCTAGATAAATTTTCATTGATTATGAATATGTATAACCATTTTTCACATATTTAATTCTCTAAATAGATACAAATTCATGAAAAATAGAAATCAGTTATGAAAATACCCTAAACTTTTTATAACAATGTCATTACACATACTTAAGCTGGGAAAAATATAAAAAGGGGTTTCTAAACTGGTTAACCCAATTTTATGATTTTTATGCATTTATTCTAATAAAAATGGGGATAAATAGAAAAAAGTTTCCAAAATTGCCCGCAATTTTTGTAACACTTTTATTATACATATAGAAGCTGTGAAAAAATATAAAAGATATTTTCCAATTAGTCTTTCTATTTTTCTTTGTTTTATCCTCTTAAATAATCATTAATTGGAGAATAATTATTAAACAGTTAAAGTAAATTACCAAAATTTTTGTACACTTCATTTACAGAGTAAATAATCTGGGAAAAATACCAAATGTGGTTTTTATATATTGAAATCGGATTTTGTGTATTTAAGTGTATTTAATCTTAGAAAATAGGAGAAAAATAGTATACAGAACAGAAAATCATCAAAATGTTTATGTAGCCTCCTAATGTACTACAAAGTGTTCTGGTAAATTTTCATGAATTTTGGATGAGCAGAACTATTTTTTCTATTTTTAGGCCATTATAAATACAAAAATCGGGGAAAAATAGGAATGCATTATGAAAAATTCTGAAAATATTTTTCTGAGTCTTATACCTCTGGTAGTAACTGCGAAAATTGTTATATATCATTTTAAGATTTTCTAAAGTGCTTTTATGATTTATTGGAGCCAAACAAAAAGAAAATTCAAAACCATGTTAAACAGTAGCAAAACTCGATGAAACTTAATGAGGGATCATTATTTAGCATGGGGGTCATCCACGAATTTAAATAGGATTTATAGACCCCAGAAAGTATTTTATATGATTTATTGCCCTATTTTACTGCATTAATTATAGTAATTCGAGATAAATGAATTATTCTCTGGAAATTTACAGATCATCTTATCTTGTCGATGGGAATCTGGGAAAAATCGGATTTGGTCAGAAAAGGAGTTTTTGATATTTATTTGGAAATAAATCCTTCATGAACATATTTGAAAGCTTTTAACAACATACTTTGATGATCTAGCTTCTAAGCTTGAAGATCATCACATGCATGTTTGTTTGAAGTTCATTCATGAGTTTGAAATGTTTAAAATTCGTTTTTGAAAGAAAACTTTGGATGCATGTGGTGATTTTCCACCAAAACGTGTAGAAAAGTGCATTTCCATGGTTTTGACTTAGGTTTAGGTCATGGATCTTCACCATTTTTTGTAACATGCAAGATGTTTTTGGTGAAAATCTACCACCATCATCATCAAAACTGAAGTGAATGAACATTCACACAAATTTTCTAAGAGAATGGTGTAGAAGAACAAGGAAATGCAAGAAAAACCTTTAAAACTAGAAAGAAAAGTGAAGGAGATTGAAGGATTTTCGTGATTACCATGAAGAACAACCCTAGAAGATGAAGATTTGAAGGTTAAGAGATGTTCTTGGCTGGAGAATTTCGTGGTTTTAGAGAGGGAAAGAGAGAGTTTGAGTGTGGTAAATGGTGGAGTGTGAGAGAGAGTGTAGAGAGAGAGAGAGGAGTGAAGGAGATGGAGTGTGAGAGAAGAGTGATTATGTGTTTTGGGAAGAGGGGAAGCATCTTGGGAAGAGGGTGGACGGTTTTGAGTGTAAAATGCCCTCCCTCTCTTTTAATTTTATAAAAAAAATTCAATTCTTTTATAAAAATATCAAACTTTTTATAAAATATACACCCTAACCAAGTTTTTGCTCATGAAACCTTGATTTTTGACTTATAAATTTAGGGCAATTGTTAATGACTTAAATTTTATTTTCCTTAAATGCATTTTCATAATTTTAATTATTATAAGATCATATTATAAGTTTCATAATTATTTTTATAGAATTTTTAAGGTTAAAGTTTATAAATATGAGTTTTTATGGCTTTTAGGGTCTTGAGATTTTGTAAATCTTTGGATATCAAAATAAATAGAATATTTGAGACTTTAAATTATCTTATGGTATTATAACTCTTTTATAGTTATAAATAATGTTTGTAATTTATTTTTATCGGTTTATTGGCATTCTATGTAGTGATTACGAGATTCAGCCGAAATTGAGGAATCAAGTATACTAGTCATAGTCTTCAACTTTGACTTAAGTTTCTATGAGACTTTGACCTAATTTCTACTTCTAGGTCAAGTGCATGATGTGTGAATATGATTCTTGAAATGGTGTTCGAGTCAAAGAATGACCCGAATATGGATAGTCTCTACAGTTAAGTAGTTATAGAATTCACATATCAATGTGAAATCTATGCACACTATCCATTGATTCTAATTGTTTCCAAGTTTCTAGTAGGTTATAACTTAGCTTCTAGTTACTAAGTCTAGTATGTGTAGTGCCTATATGTGCAACTAAGTTTAGTCAAATCTAAAACCGACTCGAATTTTGACGACTGTCACATATAACCCAACAATCTCCCCCTTGGTTTATTGCTGGCTGCTATTACAGTTTATCTACAAGATGAACATCAGACTGATCGAACGCCCCAGCCCACAACTTCCATTCAATTATAGTGGCAACCATTCCAATGAAAGCTTTGCCAGCAGCTTCAAACAATTCATTTCCTACAATAAGTTGAAAATGTGAAAAATTTCGAATATCACGTTCTCCAAACTTCAACAAATCCTTGGGATAGACAATGCGATACTGGCTCTTTTTCATCTTGATTACCACTGACGCGGTAGACTCATCATAAATCTAGAATTGCATTGAGTCTAAGGTGCCTTCTGGTAAACGTCTGGCAAGCGGAATCTTTTTAGCTTTCTTTGTAGGAGGCCACGTAACATTTACCATGGTTTTATTAGTGTGAGGATCAATGACATCCTTAGCCTTCTTCGTGAATGATGAAGCAGTCTTCATGTCTTCAAAATACTTTTTTAGATTGATTCTCAAGAAACCTCTTAAACTCCAAGGCCACAGAGTCATTGGTTGGATTGTTGAAAGGAGCTTGAATAAGTTCAGCGAGATCAACTTTTGTCCAGGACATAAAGTCATTCAACTTCTCATAATACTCAACTCGATGGCTCTTTCGCTTCACGATCCACATTTTCTTGTCGCTATCGAATCCCCACATCAAAATGCCTGAGCGATCTCCATACTTATCAGTAAATTTCTTCCCAGTTTCCCTTAAAAACATCCCAGGATGATCACTTGGAACATTCTGATCTGAATGTTTAATCACCAACATCTTCCCTTTCAGCTGCTCAATTCGAGCTTGCTTCTCTCTTCTTTCTTGAGAAGAAAAAGGACCGGAAGATAAAAACATGTCAAGATTTGCATCCGGAGCGGGTCTTACAACTCTTTCACTCACATGTTGAGAAGGTGGATTGACTGGATCAGAGCTAGATACAGAAATCTTTTCGCCTTCAACGCTTAAAGGTTGAAAATCATCACCAAACTTCTGATATAAGCGCTGCTTCGTCAAATAATAAAGCAGTTATACCACCAAGATTTGCTTGAAGTTTAGAAATCTTTGCATCTTTAACAGAGTTCTCCTGTTCAAGGCTAGAAACTCTCACATCCAGACTGCCATTCAGAAAATCCTTATCAATTGACTCATGCTTCAAAAGCATGATCTCTTGTTTAAGCTCAGAGACGACGTGATGGTAGTTTGCGTCACCTCCTTGCTTGGAGCCAATAGATATTCCTTTTCCTTTGGACTGAGAAAAGGAATCTTGAAAAGCAAGTAACTTGGCTAACTTCACAGATGCAACATCGTGCTCTGGAGGAGGTGGGGTAGAAGAACTTCCCGAAGCAAATGTTTCCTCACTAACCATTTGACTATGAACATTTTCTTGGACCGATGTTGTTTCATTGAGTGGGCTTTAAACATCTTCTTGAATAACTCGAGAGAGCTTAATAATCGGACTTTGAGCATCATGAGCAAAGTTAGTGGGCTCAGCAATTGGAGAGGGATGGTGTACTGGCTAAGTAGAAAGCACTTCCAGCCTTGGATCTTTACGTCTTCGCTTTCTTGTGTCACACCCCCAGCCATCGGCGGAAACACCGGGTAGTGTAACGTCATTCTTCGTATCACAGTTATATAACATAGATTGAACAGTACTAAGAAAATACATACCTTTATTGATAATTGAAAGTTACATAACTGTTTTTCTAGAACCTATTACATAATATCCGACTATGGCATACTTCTTAATGAACAGAAAGGTAATAGTAAAACTTCTTCTGTTCGAATACATGCCCGATTTTCAAGTTCCTGAAACTCATGCATTTTAAAATACGTCAACATAAAGTTGGTGAGTCCACAAGTTTTGACTCCATAAAATAATAAATTTTTCCACGTTCAAAAGTATAGTTTTGAAAGTATCATTTTGACTCTCCAACATTTATTAGGTATATTAGGTATAATAGTTTACTTATCAATTAAGTGTTATACCTAAACATTCCTTAAACCTAAGGTATAAGTAGGGGGGAAACTTATACTTAACATTAATACTTGTATACGACAAAGTATAATGCTTCTAATAATTTGCTACCATGAGCCTGTAATCGCGGCTGTGACATATTACCTATGATAAAACACACTCATGATTTACCATGAGAAACAAGCACACTCATGATTTACCATGAGAACAACACCGTATGCTTCATCGACGCCGAAACAATAACAAGTAAAAGGATAGTTCATCACTCGCTTTTGGTTGACTGTAGCTAACAGTCACAAGTAGGGTGGCCAACCCGTATACTAATTATACACGACTTCCTCGCTCACACGGGATTAACGGTTATAGTTAAGAGGATTTCCGCTAAGATCCCCAATCTTAGTTGATGAATACAATTACTCATGTAGACTTCGACGGCTTCCTATAGCTCTAACAACAAAAGCATTTTCATGTCTAAAACCCTAAGTTACTAGACTATGCTTTTAAACATTACTCCTAACTTCATAACATTTAGGAAGTATAACAGCTATATCTTGAAGTAAAACCAGGTTTTATCTTGACCTAAAACCAATAATAACAACATATAACGTTCCTAGTTTTATCATGACATAAAACTATCAATAACAATATATAACATACTAAGTTTTATCTTGACATAAAACTAACAATAACAACCTATAACATACCAAGTTTTATCTTGACATAAAACCAATAATAGCAACATACTTTATAACTTAACATATAGAACTTCCGAATATAACTTCGGAACTATATCGCACACAACATATATATAGAATCCTAAGTATAACTCAAGATCTACATTAGTATACTACTATAACAATAACATGCTAAGAACTTTACAATAGTTGTATACTTTAAGATACGAAATAATTATATCTTGGTTATTATAATTATCTACGTTGATACTAATATACTATCATATAGACATAATAATAACGTATATATAATATTTAGCATACATTTTCCCCCGAAATATTAGAAAGTGGGGCCGTGAAACTCACCCTTGTAGCGTGACTTTATGTAATCTAAGCAGAAACGGTCAGCGTACGAGGTCGTCGGGGCTCGGGATGCAAGATGGTCTCAGCAAAGGAGAGGGGAGAAAGAAGTCTAGGTGTAAGAATGGCTGAGGTGGGACCTGCTATTTATAGTAAGGATTTTGGATCCCCACGTCATGAGTTTGGATCTTGTCCCCGTAGACTTGCCATTTGCGTCCCTAGCTTCGGAAGGTGGCCATGTAACTCCTCACGTCGTGAGATATCCTTGCTCACGTCGTGAGTTCGGATCTTATCCCCTCGTAGCCTCGTCACACACCTTCTAGATTCCGAGATGTGGCAAAATGACTCCTCACGTCGTGAGTTCTGTGCTCAGGTCATGAGCTCAGTCAGATTAGGGTTTCTGACAACTGAATCTTCGGAAGGTCGTAACTTTCACGTACGAACTCCATTTTTGACGTTCTTTATATGCACGCGTAGGTATTTACAAGTACTACAACTCTCTTTTAGAATCCAATAGCTAATTCTAAGTCTATTTTAAATTCCTCTTATTATAGAGATTTATAGTGTTCGGTTTATCATAACTTCTTCATGCGAAGTCAGATTCAGACATTCTCTATATTTTTGGAATCGTATGGAGGTATACTTTGAGTTGTATCATAAAGAAAGTTCATATTTGTATTAGAATTTATCATGAACTACATAGCACTCTTATCATATTATTAGTTTAACAAAATCACGTTACAGGATTGGCATAATCACATGTGATTGTCTATTGACATATTTTGACTGGTGTTACATTCTCCCCCCGTTAGAATAATTTCGTCCCGAAATTTATCTTATGGATGAGGTTTCGTCAAACAGTTGGGGGTATTTTTCTTTCATCTGTTCTTCATGTTCCCAAGTAAATTCAGGTCCTCATAAAGAGTTCCATCGAACTTTCACTATGGTAATACGACTTTGCTTTAATCGTTTGGCCATCTATGTATCTCCAACTTCTACCCAACATACCGGGGAACGACATTTTCGTCCATAAAGAGCCTCAAACGGTGCAACCTTGTTGCTGGTGTGATGACTATTGTTGTAGGAAAACTCAATTAACGGTAAATGTGTATCCCACGCATTTTCAAAGTCTATTACACAGGCTCAGAGCATATATTCTAAAGTCTGAATGGTTCTCTCACTCTGACCATCAGTCTGTGGATGGTATGCTGTACTCATATCTAGATTTGTTCCTAACGATTTTTGTAGAGATTGCCAAAATCGTGAAGTGAATCTACTATCTCGGTCAGAAATAATAGAATTTGGAACTCCATGCAATCTGACAATTTCCTTAAGATATACTCTAGTCAGCTTCTCCATCTTGTCGTTCTCCTTAATTGGTAAGAAATGGGCGGACTTAGTCAACCTATCGACTATTACCCAAATAGTGTCGAACCCACTAGGAGTTTTAGGTACCTTAGTGATGAAGTCCATTGATATCTGCTTCCATTTCCATTCAGGTATTTTCGGTTTTTGAAGTAAACCTGAAGGCTTTTGATGTTCTACCTTTACTCTAGAACAAGTCAAACATTTGCTCACATAAGTAGCAATTTCTGCCTTCATGTTTGGCCACCAATAATGTACCTTTAAATCTAAGTACATTTTGTCAGAGCCTGGATGTACGGAATTACTGGACTTGTGGGCTTCTTCTAAGACCAAGTCCCTGACTCCACCGAACTTAGGCATCCAAATTCGGTTCATAAAGTGTCGTGTTCAGTCATCTCTTTGTATAAGTTTGCTTTTCCATTCCTCGCAAAGCTTCGTTCTTGATGTTTTCTTCTTTTAGAGCCTCAAGTTGAGCTTCTCTTATTTATGCGGTAAAGTTAGAACAGATAGTTATAGTTAATGCTCGTACCCGTCGGGTTTAATATATATTCTTTCCGGCTCAAGGCATCTGCTACCACATTTGCCTTTCCGGGATGATAACGAATCTCACATTCGTAATCATTCAACAATTCGACCCATCTTCGTCGTCTCATATTAAGATCTTTTTGGTTGAAGATGTGCTGGAGACTCTTGTGGTCGGTAAAAATAGTACACTTAGTACCGTATAAGTAATGTCTCCAAATTTTTAGTGCAAAAATTACAGCTCCCAATTCAAGATCATGGGAAGTGTAATTATTCTCATGCACCTTAAGTTGTCGTGATGCATAGGCGATAAGTTTTCCTCTTTGCATCAACACACATCCCAATCCTTGATTTGAGGCGTCGCAGTATACAACGAAATCTTCTATTCCATCTGGAAGGGATAGGATTGGTGCACTACACAACATTTGCTTTAGTTTCTGAAAAGCAGCTTCTTGTTTGTCTTCCATGTTGAACTTCGTATCCTTCTGGGTTAGTGTTGTAAGCGGCTTGGCTATTTTGGAGAAATTCTCTATGAATCTACGGTAATAGCCAGCAAGTCCTAGGAATTGACACACCTCTATTGGCGTCTTTGGTGCTTCCCAATTCCTGATTGCTTCAACTTTGGATGGGTCAACACGAATTCCTTCGTTGCTAACTACATGACCTAAAAATTGTACTTCTCTAATCCAAAACTCACATTTGGAGAATTTATCGTACAACTTTTCTTTTCTTAGTAGTTCCAAGATTATTTGCAGGTGTTTACCATGTTCTTCCTTGGTTCGTGAATATATCAATATATCATCGATAAATACGATCACGAATTTATCCAGGTATGGTTTGCAAACACGATTCATGAGATCCATAAACACTGCTAGGGCATTGGTCAATCCAAAAGACATAACTAAGAACTCATAATGACCATAACGAGTTCTAAATGCTGTTTTAGGAATGTCGTCTTCTTGTACTCTGAGTTGATGGTATCCTGATCTGAGATCTATCTTTGAGTAGTAGATGGATCCTTGCAGTTGATCGAATAGATCATCAATTCTCGGAAGCGGATAACGATTCTTAATCGTTATCTTGTTCAGCTCCCGATAATCAATACACATTCCAAAGGATCCGTCCTTCTTCTTGAAAAACAAGATTGGTGCTCCCCAAGGTGAAAAACTTGGTTGGATAAAGCCCTTGTCAAGAAGTTCTTATAGTTGGCTAGACAATTCTTGCATTTCGGATAGAGCCAACCGATAAGGAGATTTCGCTACTGGTGCTGCTCCTGGAATTAAGTCGATTCGAAACTCGAGTTGTCGGACGGGAGGTATTCCAGGTAGATCTTCAAGAAACACGTCAGGGAAATCACATACTTGAGGTATGTCCTTGATTTCTTTTATCTTTCTCTTCCTATCTACAATGTGGGCTAAGAATGCGCTACATTTCTTATGTAGATATTTATTGGTCTTAGTACAAGAGATG